TTAGTCAGCCGCTGACTAAATACTTTTTTGCCCCACTGTATATTTACATAATTATTCAGGTGCATGTGTAATAACTTGCGAAAACTTGATGCTACAGCAGCACTTCTTCATCATTGTCCAAGCATTCTAACCACGAACTTGCCCCTCCCCACCCCCCAACTATTCGAACTTCCGTAGGCGGGATTTATTTTAATGATATTCTAATGGATCCTTTATGACATCACAAAACCCAGAAAACAACGCTGCAGTCCAAACATCCACTGGATGCAACAAATGCCTCGTTTATAATGGGTTTTAATGTTTTTGTCCCGTCGCTCCGGCCGGGACAAGGCATCACAATATGGTAAGGGGCGTAACATTTCCGTCACACGCTTGAGGAATTTGGCCAATCACAACGCACTGGATAGCTGGCCAATCAGAGCACACCTCGCTTTTCAGACCGATGAGCTTTGTAAAAATCAACGTGTTTCAGAAAGGCGAGGCATAGAGGAAAAACAATAATGTACAGTATGTGGAAAATAATGTGTTTTTTTAACCTTAAACCGCATAAACACATTTCATTACACCAAATACACAAAATAATGTTCTTTTTAGCAACATCATATGACCCCTTTAAGGTAAATTAAATAGAAAACTATTGCTAATTTAATTGTTATAGCAAGAAATGCTAAATTATATAAAAATGACTGTTTACATTTAATTATTATATATATTTATTTTTTTAAAAGTGTAATTAATTTAAAATATAGCCTAGGTTTTAATTAGCGGTGCAATGAATCGTACAGGATCCGTGATCTACCGACCAGGGGCCTGATGTATAAACGTTGCGTATGTATAAAATGGGCATGGAAATGTGCATACGCAATTTTCCACGCACATATCGGGATTTATAAAAAATAAACTAGGCGCACCGTACGGACACTTTAGACCATGCGTACGCACTCTTTTACTGGAGTGAGCGAAATAATGAAGCTCACTTTAAATTATTTTAGTAAATTCTGTTTTACATTTGACATACACATTTAGATTAAATATGACACTCTCAATAATGCAGTTAAACACTGAAGTTTCATGAAATTATTATCCAGAAATTACAACATTTTTATATGAATTTAAACAGAAATATTTGCAGTGGATGTGCTGCTTTCAAACAATTTTCCTGTGGTATGGGATTTAATGTTTTAATCACAGCGAGGATTGCTTGGCGCATGACAATTCTGCTTTAAATTTGCAAGCTAATCCTGGTAGCTTTATTATAGCCACAAAAATCATGTTCTGAGAAAATACTTTTGGGTGAATAATGATCACTGATGTGAACTTGATTCGTCTGATGCTTTGGAACATGTACGGTAACGACAGACAGAAGGATGCACTTGTTGATTAAACATTCCATTGGCTGGTTTGAAGAGGTTAGATGACTGTACTCTAAAACCTCTGTTCACAGGCACAGACAGTAGCCTAATGATAATCCCTTTCGTGCTCTTCCCAATATTGTGACAAACACCATATTTAAAAGATAGAATTTGAAGGAAACTGTATGATATGCACGTTTTATTTTCAAAATGTTTTTGTTATTGACACGGTGAGTCAGGCAGTTATTTACACTGCAAAAAAATAGACATTCAAATATACATTCTAAAATATATGTTTACTTTATAGGCAGAATTGCATAAATTTTAATGTGATGTCTCAAAAAGCATTTATAGGCTTTATAAATCTGAAAACTTTTGTACGAACACAAAATCCAGCTTTTGTGCGTACGCACACATTTTGGATGAAATCTACGTAAAGTTTTATACATGGGTGCCGATCCGTGGGGCCTGGGGCCTCATGTGATTCACGGATTACCTGTTAAGTTTAACCTTCATAGAGGGAACGTTTATCATTTACATGTGTTTTTCTTGCCAATTTACACATTCAAGCAATTTTAGCTTGCGCACTGCTTTCTGTGCGCTCAGCCGCTATTGTGTTATTTTACACTTAATTATTACATTTCTGCACCTGAATACTACTGTTACTGACTTTATTTGTAACTGTGTTATGTTGTATTCATCTAGTAATTTGTGTAATTATTCTTGTTTTATTACTTTATTAGTTAAGCTAGTAGGTTTTGCTGTGGTATAGAAGTACTTAAAGTCAGCTTTCAGTAATTTTTTTTCTTTGCTGATCCGAAAAATTTTCCGGCCCGTGACTCAAAATCCATAATATGATCCGAACCGTGAGTTTTGTGATCTGTTGCACCACTAGTTTTAATGAAAAGCAAAAAGATGTTCGTAATTGCTCTCCTAATTCATGTAAATAGTGAATAATAACCCCATTAATTACAATAAGCAGTACATTTAAAACAACATGCAGTAACAACATGCACTTGGAGCCTTCTGTGACAAGTCTTACTCCCAAGGGTCTAATTTTAAGCAAAAAGATGTTCGTAATTGCTCTCCTAATTCATGTAAATAGTGAATAATAACCCCATTAATTACAATAAGCAGTACATTTAAAACAACATGCAGTAACAACACGCACTTGGAGCCTTCTGTGACAAGTCTTACTCCCAAGGGTCTAATTTGATCTTTTTAACTTCAAAATAAAAACTATAATTTTTGCTCTACAAATCAAAAAATGTGGTTGTGTTCACAAATAAACACAAAAATGTTGATTTTCAACATAATACAATGTCATAGATCACTATTTCCAGAAACACAAAACGAGATAAATTAACCTCAAAACTGTTTCGACTGACTAATCTCACAAATGTTAATATTCACATGAAATGACAAAATGAAAGTGTTGAGATGAGATTTTGTGCTATCATCATGCCCTCGCGCCATCTTACCAAGTCTTCCCCCCTCCATGTTCATTCTTGTAACTTTTTTAAATTGTTGCATCATTTCTCATTATTTATACATTGCACCACATGACTACAACAAGACGGGGTCCATAAATGATGGTGCATTGATCATTTGGCAAAAAGATATGAGTTTTACATTTAAAAACAATAATTTACTACAGTACAGCTAGAAAATCCACTGTATACACTCATGTCTGGATGAATCATCGCCACACAGGACAGATAAGAATATTAGTGTCTGCAATCAAAACTCATAATAGTAAACCATAAATCATCAAATCAGTACTGGGCAAGTACAGATACTACAAGCCTGCTGTGAGGAAATCGCCTACAAATTTACACCCAAATTCATACAAACCTCATCCATTGTGCAAATCCTTAAACATACACTCATGCAAATACACAGACAGAGCAGCCTTGCTTAACCCAAAAGGATTATTGAATCCTATTAATCAGATGAAATAACTGAAAGGCAAAGGCCACACAATGCATTTTGTGCTGCAAAAAGAGATAGGACTGGCCTTAAACCAATACCACAAATAAATCAAAAGATGCATTGAACAGTGTTGCCAACTCTCACAAGATAAATAAGCATCCGCAGCTTCGAAAACAAGTCCCATTTTATTATATTATTTATTATCATCAACATTATTTATTATCAATAAATGAGCATGCAACATAGTAAACTGAAATCAACCACTCTGAGTTTGAAGAGCAAAAACAGAAGTTATTTTACAAAAATCATCCAACAAAGCGGGAGGGCACACACTATCCTCCGATCACTTGCGAGCAGAATAGTTTTGGAGATGGAAAAGGAGAATAAGACAAGAGCACTACGGGGGAGCTTTATTATAGCCACATATTTATAATAAAATAAACTTGAACCATATGTATCTACTATTAGTATTACTGCTTGTTTATTTATTGATTTAATGATAATGCATTATAAAAATATTTTACAAATTGAATTAGGTCCCTTTCCTCCCCCGCACTGTTCACCTTCTCCCATGTTTCCTCTCCATCTCTGTTGGTGGCCTTGTTCTTCTATTTACATGTATTAACCATCATCCTTGGATTACACCGTCACATGTCTGCACATTAAATGAGATTTTACTCCAATAAATGGGAGGAGAGGGCTTGGCTATTAGTTGCCAGCAGACAGTGTCAACAATATATTGGAAAAAACATCATAAACGTAAAGAAACGAAGTTGCTTGTCATGTTTTCCTAACAATCAACCATATATAAATATATATATAAAAAAAGAAGCTCTAAACCCCTGATTTTTAAACGCGACTTGACAAAAAAAAAAAAAAAAGGAGCCGTCAGTCGCGTAAAATAAGCGGATTTGGCAACTCTGGCAGTGAACCTTATAAACTGTATTTTACATGTCCAAAAGAAGAAAATCTATGAACAAGCACACATATTTTAAAGACTAGAAATCACTGCAGTTGTAACACATAGAAACTGCTTATAGAGTGCTTATGGATCGTTAAATGTAGATGTGGATAATATATTTAATAAGTAGTAGCCTACGTCTGAACGTTTGTCTGTATATTAAATCAGAATCAGAATGAGCTTTATTGCCAGGTATGTTTACACATACGAGGAATTTGTTTTCGTGACAGAAGCTTCCACAGTGTAACAGAATGAATATTCTTATAAATATGTGGCTATAATAAATGCATTTGGATCCATAGAGAAATGTATTTTAAAATAAGATGCATAAAGCATAATAATTTAACAGAAACCCGCAAATCTATGACTGTAACAACATCACATTTGAATAAAATGGTCTCTAAAACGTCGTACTGACTATTATATTAAGTCTGACAGGTGCTTGATGGAGAAAAACGATCAACCGCTGTAGCATATTCAGGAAAAAAATAGATATGTAAAAACGAATAAATAATTAATGATATAGGCTAGACTGAAATCAATAATTTTATCACAATACAGTAACTATAAAAAAATTATACAGAATAAAAAGGTTTATTTTGCTTTGGCAGCTTTCTTTCAGGTAAAATATTAGCTCCAGTGTTTGGTTAACTTACACCACACATTTTGTAGGTATGTCTGAAACATGAGTCACATTATAAAGGGCGTTTCAGCCTTATGTTCACTTGGCTTTATTTGCTTTTACTATCACTTACCTCCTTCTTCACGTTTCGTAGCAGTCTCTGGCGGGTTTCGGCTTCTAGGAAAGAAAGAAATTATATATATATATATATACACACACACACAGAGAACATTTGCCTAATTATTAAATATGAAAAAGTAAAAGTCAAACGTGTGATACTGTAGTTTAGAAGTGTTTCGAAAAATAAAAGCAGAATTTGTCGCACCTGCTGTTGTGGTTGCCATGATTGTGGTATTCAGCTCTCTCGCGCTCCGCTCCTCTGACGCTTAACACTCGACTGGATGAGGCTAAAGCAGTTCAACATCAACTTGGAGAGGCAGCGAGATCACGTGACCTGCCAGAGCGATTCCTACAACGGCGGAGATGCCAAACTCCGTGTATCAAGCAGTTCTACCTGGAGTGAGTTATCGGTTAGAATTTCTATTCATCTCAGCTGCTCGGGTGTAGTGGTAGCCTATTTCGTTTGTAAACGATTCGGTGTTTTAAACAAAAATTAGACGAATCATTCGTTCACTGTCTCTCCCGGTTGAAGCACGTGACTGCTTTGGTGGCTGACTACAGCACTAGCAAATAGCATTTGAGTACCGTTTTTGAAAGAGCATTTCTTGGAGCTGATGAACGTATACGCCCTTCATTGAACCAGTTGCTGTTCTGTTCTAGGAAAACGAGTCTCGGCGGTAACTGTGCTGATATGCCCAGTGTATGTCGAACAAACTCCAAAAACTTCTTCTGTGCGCCCAAAAAAATGTAATAAACATTTGTCTGATGAGGGAGATTAACGTATACCGACTTGAGAAATATTTTTCCTGATAATATTCTGAGTTTTCTATCTGCCGTTTAGAACTATTGACGCCCGATTTACGAATGAATCACTCTTGTGAAGCGACTCTTTTCAATTAACCTTCCTTACGGGTAAATAATATTTGTCTGAATCAATTTGCGATGCAGTCTGAAAGATTCGAACTACTCACTCACCCACTGAACCGACAGCAGAAAACAAGAGGAGCATTGGATTAAGTGAATTATGTACCTATAATCAATTCAAACCTAACCTGCAAATGCATTCTTATCATTTGAGAACGACTCAACAAAGAGTAGCTATCAACAAAATAACAGCACACAAAAGCACGGAGAGTTTTTTTTTTTTTTTTTACTATTTATATGCCAAAAGTAGTCTGAATACACGTATACCTTCCTTGAAAATAACAGCACACAAAAACCCGGAGAGTTTTTTTTTTTTTTTTTTACTATTTATATGCCAAAAGTAGTCTGAATACACGTATACCTTCCTTGTGACATTATTGACAAGAGCAGCGTGCTCTCAGACATTGCTCTCTGGTGCACAAAAGATACAGCTGGAAAAAATAAATAAATAATAGGAGAGTTTGCCATTTAAATCCACATTGAAAGTGCATCCTGCTCCCTAGTGTTCCCTCATATGAAATGAAAGAAAAGTCTGCTTTTTTCTATCTCTCTTTTGCTGCACAAAGACACTATGTTCCCACTTCGGAATGCAATTTAATTGAGAAACGTGTCAGAGAACATTTTTGGAACAAGCTTACGGGTTCAAACCTTCAGCAGCTACATGTGTTGCTAAGCAACAATGTAGGGCCCCATTAACAGTACTAATTGAGTAAAGTCTGAGAAAACTGTGATCTTTTCATCGTCTCTCTGGGGGAAATGCCACCTCATTGTTGAAGTAAGACTTTCATATAATTGCATTTTATCAAGACAACCAATACATGGTGCAGAGTAAAAAAAATATATAGATGATGGTGAACAAACATCACTTTTTATGGGAACCTAATTCAAAAGGGCTTCATGCAAATTTGGGTGCTTAATTGAGAGCTCTGGACTTTTGAATACAAATGTAGGGTATAGAGACTGTAATATAAAACAATGGAGATTGAGGTGGAAAGTGACACCAAATGTGCTTGCATTAACTAAATGTATCGCCCTGTGTTATCTAAAAGATAGATCATTTACAAACAACTGAATGTAGTTTTGTGTAGTCCTGTGACTTTGGAGCCCCCTACAGTTGAAAGTGAGTGAAATCCACCCGCTCACATACAGTAGGGCAGGGATCCTCAAATCTGGCTCACGAGATCCACTTTCCTGCAGAGTTTAGCTCTAACCCTAATCAAACACACCTGAGCAAGCTAATCAATGTCTTCAGTATCATTAGAAAATCACAGGTAGGTGAGTTTGATCAGGGTTGGAGCTAAACTCTGCAGCGCATTAGCCCTCCAGGGCAAGATTTGAGGAGCCCTGCAGTAGGGCCTTCTCCCACGCAGACGTTTGAAGGGGAGCGTGGGAAAGAAACAGAAGCGATTCGCCTTATTGGAAGTCAGTGAGCACGTTTACATGCAGTTTTCGCGTACATATAATACGCATCTACCCCACAACCCTAAACCTACCCATCGCGTAGCATATACACGCCAAAGTCAATTTTTGCGTATCAGTACCACGAGTTTTCGTTTTTATTTGGCGTAGCCTACTACAGGTGCATCTCAATAAATTAGAATGTCATGGAAAA